GAGTTTATACTTTACTTACTCTACTGTTTAGAAAGTAGATGCCTAGCAACACCGATATCTGGATCTATAGCTAGAGTGACAAAGACTTTGGCCTTAACAGTAACAGATAGAAATATACCTCCCTATACTGCAGGAATTGAAACTAAAAACACAACAACAACAGGAACTGTTAGGCACAGGCCCAGCTGTATGCAGTACTGTACAGGCAATTTTAAACAGGAGGCATACATGGGGGGAGGAGATCATCTTTCAATGCAAGCATTGTCATGTTATGCAATTGAATTTAAAGCAGCAGCTAAGGGCATGTATTGCCGAAATGAAAAAGTTGATCTCGAACCTTTTCCTGTACTGCCTCTGGCAATACACTTTGAATGTGTGACTGCTGGCTCAGCACATTTCTTATAAATCATTAGGAAATACAATCGTGCCTTTTAATTAACCTCACTTGGTTGTAAAACATTTGCCATGAAAGAATGAAATCTGCAATTCAGAATCCGAGGTAAATCTCTTTTCCAGGTGACATCTAAATTTTTCTTTCAGGTGATACTGACATCTCTTTCAATTGATCATCTGCACGTGTTTCTCTTGCGTGAAAATGACTTGATAATCGATTCTTTTGAGTTCGTTCATCAAACGGGTACCAAGCTAGTTATTAATGAATTCGGCTCCCTGTGAGTTTATACTTTACTTACTCTACTGTTTCCATCCCCGTCTTGGGTAGATGAAATTGTCGGACGAAGGCCAGCTGTGTTGTTGTTTGGATCGCCATGTTGTTTCTTTGTACGCTCTCTTTGAGTCCAGGGATAATTGTTTTCCTAGGCCTTGGCCTGCCCAACAGCCACCGAATCGCAAGTTTTAGGCTTTTGGGCCTGGCTGTTGTGGCCATATTTTCATGACATGTCCGAACTATCTCACATCGTGCTTATCAATATACTTAATGCACAATTGGACGCCCACTTTCTTTGTCTGTCTCTGCTTAAAGGTTTTCTCATACATTGCAATTTCTCATTTTGTTATTTTCTCTTGCTGCACTTTGTTGGGCTCCAGGTATGGCACTACTAGCAGAGTTGGTATGAAGATTGATCTGTTAGGGCTTTAATTTTGATGATTAACAAAATCAAAAGTAAGGCATCGTTGTGAAATCAGGCACTGGTCAAAATAATGAAATCTACGATATCGACATCTTCCCAGCAGTTTGACAATGTTTTTTTTTGTTTTTTTTTTATTCAAGACCTCTTATGTCCTTATAAAAACACATTTCCACGTGAACGTGACTGTAAAACATTGATTAAAGACCCAAAATGTGTCAATTTTCAGTTTTCAAAGATTATTTAGCTATTGAAATAAC